CCTGGTTTGTTTTAGATATCATAATTCGATTAGGGATTTGTGCCGGCATACTTATTGGCCATAATTTTCATTCAGATAATAACACAGTTTGTTTTAGACACCATTATTGGCCATAATTTTCATTCAGATAATAACACAGGCTGAATTTCCTCATTTAATGCCTAAATGGCTGGCTAACTTCTATACTTGATTGGAAGATGTTAATTCTTCTTTGCATTTTCATAGATTAGAAGGACCAATTTTGTGTGACTTTTCATCTCTTGTTTGTTTAAATTGCAGGGCAAAACATTAGAAAGCTGGTTAAAGATGGTTTTATCATAAAGAAACCTATGAAGATTCACTCTCGATCCCGTGCAAGACGCATGGCGGAAGCAAAAAGGAAGGGGCGCCACTCTGGATATGGTATGCCCTAGAACAATTTTCTCATCTGTGATGTACTAAGTTGTTAGTTATTGAAAATTAATTTCAATAGGTAAGCGCAAGGGTACTCGAGAAGCTAGGCTCCCCACAAAGGTTTTGTGGATGAGAAGGATGAGGGTTTTGAGGCGTTTGCTTAGGAAGTATCGTGATGCCAAGAAAATTGACAAGCACATGTACCATGATATGTACATGAAGGTAAAAGGTAATGTATTTAAAAACAAGAGAGTCTTGATGGAGAGTATTCACAAATCTAAGGCCGAAAAGGCAAGAGAAAAGACTTTATCGGACCAATTTGAGGCTAAGAGGGCAAAGAGCAAAGCAAGCAGGGAGAGGAAGATTGCTAGAAGGGAGGAAAGACTTGCTCAGGTGACATAATGGTGTATTATAGTACTTTAATTTTTAATTGTTCAAGAAGTTACTCAAACTTTGTGTTGAATGTGTTTTGTTCCCATAACATAAATGGTTTTGCAACTTAATTTTATTGTTTCTATAGAAGTAAAAGTATTTGTTGCTGTGCCAGTTACTTTGCATGCACAATTTATTATTTAATATTTATATGTTTCTTCTATTCAGTAGTTTGAGTTTAAGATGAGTGCCTATTACACCATGCTTGTTAATAGTGAATGGTGCACACTATGGCACATGACTCCTCACGAGCCACATTGCATCAGGGAATGCAAGCTAGTTAAAAGAAAGATACAATTATAAAAGTCGCGACCGACATATTTACATTACAATAAAAATAAGAAAAATATTCCAATCCTAAATGCAATGTCAGATGACTGAAACATAAGTTGTTGAACTCTTGTCTTCCTTTTTGGGCTAAAGAAAAAAACTTTGTCAAGGCATAACAAGATACTTATTATACCAAGATGCAGGGTAGTAAGTTAGGACTTCCTAAAGGGATACAATCGTGAATATTATTAAGTACTAATGTTTAAATGGGTAATGGTACAGCTACTATTTTTTATTTAAATTCCAAAACACATCTAGTCCTTTTCCTCCTCATCATTGTCATAAACCAAAGTAACCTCGTCATACAATCCAAAGTACCCTCATCAACAATTTCTCTAACATCATAATTATCTTCATCCACAAATTTTCTAGGGCTTTATGAAGATTCATATTTCTTTTCATTTAGTTTGTCTTGACTATTGTATTTTTTTCACAAACATCACTGGCTCTTGTAATAATATTTCATTTTCTTCACCGAACACTAGTTCATCATATTCATCTAACTTGTTATCCAACTACATGTTAATCGATAATAAGTGTCATTGGTCTCATTAGAGGAATTTGATCAATGATGTCATAGCAAGACACTGTTCATAACTCGTGCATGAGTGAAAACCATGGACAGTTTGTGCTATTTGATGCACCTGGGCCTTACCACAATGATGGTGCATGATGTGAGATTACTACGCCACATACTATAGTCCGTGTTATTGACAAGCATGCATTGTTCTTCTATATCTTTATCACCACAAGTATCCTCATCTAGTTATTGTAACTACTTTTGTTTCACTTTATTCATTCACACCTAATGATATATGAGATGTTGATTTTGTTTTGCGTTTTTTATTTTTTCAAATCTTTTAGCCTTTGTGGTCCTTTTATTCTTTAATATTTTCATTACTGTTTCATCCAACCTTTTGATGGTGCATCTTTTATCTTAATTTGTAATTTATTTATGTTCAAATAATTTGTTTTTTTTCCCATATTATCTTCAGGCGGCGCTTCACATACTGGACAATAAAAAGTTAATACTTAAGTATGACAAAAATGAAATGTTAATATGTATGTGGCAAGTAAGGATAAATTAAAAAAATATATATATATCTGAGGAATTGCTGGTGTGATATTTATTGAAGATTGTTGGGGCATGCGCAATTAAGGGTAGAAAATATGCCTATTTTATGCGTATATAAAATTAGTGTTAGGGGATTAGGTAATAGGGGATGTATGTATCTAAGGTAATATTTATTGAATTTCTTCAAAATAATTTGCAAAGAATATGTATAAAACATCATGAAGCACTTAACAGAACAAATGACAAAGTAAAGATTAATGAAGTCTTTTCTAATGATGATGATGATGTTGGTGATGACTTTGGTGATGATGATCAGGATATTTTCTAGACATTATTAATAATAAACACATGCATTAGTAAACAAGACATCTATTATACATATATGAATGCATCTATGCATATATAAATGCCTGCAAGTGCTAATATTTATATTTATTCAAGCGTGTATTTATTCATAAATACATATATGTTTTAATTTAATCTAAAGCTATTTTGATTTGTGCCAAATCTTCCTTAATCTAATTTTGATTCAAATTTGGCCTAATTCATTAATTGGCTTATTGATTGGAGTTGAAACTTAATCTTGACGATCTACAACCTTCAACTCAACATATCAATTCTATCCACATGCTTATTCATTTATCTTAGCTCTTCATTTTACTTGGAAGTGTTCTCACCTAGTAATTTTATGTAATATGCAAAATAACATTTTCAAACTACTTTAATTTGTCTTTTTTTTTAAACTTCTTTCATAAATATTACCAAGAGATATAATGCTGATTTTTTATGTAACTCTATACAATTAAAATCTCATTGTTTACCAGTATCAACTACTTCTAATACTTGTGATTGTGCTATCCTGCATATCTTTGTAATATCAACATAGCTAACTTTATAATTTTTTTCCTTATTTTCCACTAAGCACTTAATCATATGTCTTTTCATGATCATTAAAAATATATTAAGATTTTATTTATCTTACTTTTTTGTGAAGTAATAGCCTTAGCAAAAAAGTTGTATTTATAGTTGATCTTTGTGACATGAATCAAAAAAAAAAAAAAAATCAATATAGATGTGACTTTTCAAAACCCACTGCAGGTGCACATTTTAGTAATTTGCTGGAATGCTTTACTAGAAAATATGTTATTTGGTTTTGAAAGTCTATAATCATTAAACTTTTGCTTTGAAATTTTTTGCTGACAAATATATCAAAAGTTTAATAAGACATGCTTTTGAGTATTTTTATGGCATTTTGACTTTTTGGTATGTTTGGCTCGCGTTTGAACTCTATTATTTTTTTAAAACCATTCCATTGCATTCAGAACTTCATGACATAAACATTGAATTTTAGTCATATCTCATAGCATTGCAATTTATTTACTTTTTAGGTCTAAAATCAATGTTGTGGAGAAATTTGGAAAAAAAATTGAGGTGACTATTATATTAGAGGGATTGTGAGAGTGTGTTTTTAAAATAGGTTTATAAAAAATATAGTTGGGTAGCTCAGGCATGTCTATTGATTGGGTATAAACTGTCCACATAAGATGGGTTTCTAGAATTAATGTCGAAGAATTGTGAAGGAAAATGATGAGAGAAAAGCTAATATGTGGTATACATTGTGCAAAAAAGATTTACGTCAGGTAGGTTTAACTCCTTATGGAACACTCACCGGAAATGATTAAAGAATGAGATTTGATGAACTCAATCTTAAAAAGTCGGGATGATGTTGATGGTGATGGTCTGCTTAGCTTTTGATTTTAATTCTTTTATTTGTTTGTTATCATGATGATGGGCTGTCTGAATACATGGAATGTTATTTTAGTAGTAGTAGCTCTAGTGACTTGTAACAGAGTTGTAACTACGAACGATCAAATTATTAAAAGGTGTGAATGCTTCAAATATCTCGGGTCTATTGTTCAAAGTGTTGGTGATGTTATTAGTAGAATTCAAGTTAGTTGTTTGAAGTGGAGGAATGCTTCGGGTTTATTGTGTGATAAAAAAGTACCGCTTAAACTAAAAGGAAAATTTTATAAGATGGTGGTGAGACCTGCAATGCTTTATGACATTGAATGTTGGCCTTTAAAAGAGAAGCATAAAACTAAGCTAAGTGTTGCTGAGATGAGAATACTTAGGTGGATGAGCGACTTTACACTTAGAGACAAAATGCGAAGTGACTATATCCGTGATAGGGTTAATGTAGCTTCAGTGGCGGAAAAAAATTAGAGAGAGTTGTTTTAGTTGGTTCGGTCACATTAAATGTCGACCATTTGGTGATCAGGTTAGGAGAGTAGATGTTTTAGATTCGACTTATGTTAAGAAAGGTAGAGGTTGGCCTATAAAGATCCTGGCATTTTATATAAAAAATGATCTTAATTTATTAGAAGCAAAGATCCTGGCATATTATATAAAAAATGATCTTAATTTATTAGAAATAAATGAAAATATGGCACTCAATAGGACACAATGGAGAAAAAGTATTCATGCAGCTGTTGTGTTGTTGTTTGTTTGTTATCGAGGTTGATCCTTGAGGGTAAGCTTAGTCTATTAGTTTTCTCCAGTACTGTATGGAGTTAATGGGGTAAGGCAACACTACACTTGCGGGAGGTTTACGTTGATTATGCCTTACTAAGTTTGATATGTATTTTTATTATGCTGTACTGTGATTGATATGTAATGCTGTATTTTTCTTATGCTGTAACATGCTATACTAGGGTAAGCTTACGTATTAACTGAAATTTTTTGGGCAGTAAAGTGTGGATTTATGCAAAAATTGGTTTTATTTCCTGGCGGCAGCAACCAAATGCTTATAATTGCCTTTTTTATTCTGAGGCAGTGGCATTTGAAGATGTCCAGCTTTTGGACTTGCTTGAATATTAGATGCCTCTGAATTCTTCGGAGTTCTTGTGGCAATTTCTGTGGATGTATTTTTGCTTTATGTGGTTTGAATGTTGCAATTTATTTACAGGATATTCCCTTGTATATACAGTTGATATGAATGCTGTTGGAAATATGGCTTTTATTGGCTTTCTCTTTTGCTTGAACCTGGGATTGATTGTTCTGTACATATTAGATCTTTTTTGGGGAGATTTTAAATTATGGACAAATAGACTTCTTTATTTACTTTTAAGATTATGGGTGTAAGCTGGATATGTGGTTCGTTTGAATATAGTATTAGTGTGATGGCTTGATTTTGGAGGGACCTATCTCCTACTGGTATTAGGCTCAAATTTTCTTACTTTGGCATCCTTCTCCATTTCATTTACGTTCTCAGTTATTGGATATAGTTCTCCTAATTTTGATCAAAAAGTTACTGAGAAACCTAATATTTGGAAATTAAATATAACTTGAACTTCTCATATTAGTTTTGTTATTTCAATTAAGTGATTTTAAACTTTAATATTGCTCCTTTGCATTTAAAGTAAATCATTGACAAGAGTGGCCACTTATGATCTATAATTTTTCAATTTTTCCTTGCATTAAATCATACTAGCACAGTATTTGTTAATTAGTAGACCTAATCTTGAGTCATCCTCCATAAATAGGTTACTTATTACTT